GAGTCCTTGCTAATGCGGTCTTACGTCGACCATCTTTCCGCCTCCTTGCAGTTTCCGCCCGAGGCCCCAGTCTTTACTCAGCACCTTGACGACGAAATGTCCGGCTTGACGATGGAGGACAAGAGATTTCTTTCTCAACTCTGCCATAACACCATAGTAAACGAGAAACTCGATCAGTCGCTACCTAATAATTGCCTTGCATTCTTTAGGCGAGCGGTCAGTACCCTGGGGCGCCTAAAGTTTGACCCCTTGAAACTGAGGAGATGCTTGTCCTCTATGAAAAATACATTACCCGGCGAAGAGACCTATGAACACGACTTGGCGAGCTACGGCGCTCGCCGCTGGCGAAGAGTGCAGCATCTAGCTCAGGAATCCTGGACAAGGTGGCGAAAGGAATACCTTCAAGACCTACAGAAGCGACAGAAATAGCTCGTGAAATCTTCCCCGCTCGCAGTCGGTGACGTTGTCTTACTAAAAATCCTTGAATAGGAATTTTTTGGTCACTAGGAGTAATCACCTCTGTAAAAAAAAAGAGCCTTGATGGATCGGTTAGGTCAGTGGTAGTTCGTACAGTTAAAAGCGGTACCCCTAAAATGAAATTTCATAACTACGAGCGTCCCGTTACCGAAGTTGTACCTTTGTTGCGTAAAACCAAAATTTCGACTTAGTTTATATTTTATACGGATAAAATAGTCCTTCGCATCATATTTACGAATGCGAAGCGTGGGGGAGTGTGGCGTCGTTCATACGCCCGTCTTTCTGTCTCTGTTCATACAAAGAATAAGTAGCCAACGCAATCTGATGTTGAACCTGTTAGGCCATACGTTATTCATCCTTGTGACCTGGTACTTACTACGCGGTACTCCTATACGAACTATGTAAGTCTAAGTAACCTATAGTAACTAAAAATATTTTAACTTATTGTTTACTTCAAAATTTTGTTTATTGTAAAAGCGTGTTAACGTTGTTTCTGGTTCTTGTGTATAAATGTTTTGTATTAGTGTCTCATAGGTAATTTGTTTTCAGCTTACACGTTTACGAGTAAAGTGGAGAACCCCGTTCATCTTCTTTACTCCATACGAGTTAACTGCCCGAAAGAGCGTACGACATGAACGGCTCGCTCGGAACACCTAACATTATATCGAAATAAACAGGACTAGTTATGAACAACTTAGTCCTAGGGGGACGACAAGAATATAAAATCCTAGCGATTTACTATTTCCAGATTATATGAGCTAAACGCATTATTGAGACATGGTTTTCTTGGCGAATTTTTGCTTGGTGAATTTTCTTGACGTTTTCTTTGCTTTTAAATTCCTTATGAACTTGCGATTTAAGCAGACTAATGATATAAGTACTTATGAATATCCTATTTCATATAGGACATTGAAGGGACTTGTGTAAGGATTAATAGTCTCGATGCTGGTCACTAACCTGCATCTCTTCCCTGACAGTGCCAGCACGGCCACGGTGTCAGCAGCTCTACAACCTCTTCCATCCCACTGACCCGCTGGCACTGAGACTTGAGCCGCTGCTGGCACCCCGCCTGGCAGCGCTGCCTCCTGTCATCATCCCGCGCTACACCAAACACCCACTCGGCGACTCCCAGCCCACTCATCTCCGTAAGCTTGTCCAGCCCACTCACCTCTGTAAGCCTTCCCAGCCCACTCATCTCCGTAAGCCTTCCCAGCCCACTCATCTCCGTAAGCCTTCCCAGCCCACTCACCTCCGTAAGCCTTCCCAGCCCACTCACCTCCGTAAGCTTGTCCAGCCCACTCACCTCCGTAAGCTCTTCCAGCCCAATCACCTCCGTAAGCTTGTCCAGCCCACTCACCTCCGTAAGCTTGTCCAGCCCACTCACCTCCGTAAGCTTGTCCAGCCCACTCACCTCCGTAAGCTCTTCCAGCCCACTCACCTCCGTTATCGATATGGTGAATTTTCTTGGCGTTTTCTTTGCTTTTAAATTCCTTGTGAACTTGCGATTTAAGCAGACTAATGATATAAGTACTTATATACAATCTAAATGCGTGTTTATCTAGCGTGCGCTAGTGGCAGCTACTGACAGCCTTACTTCTTGCGCACAGCATGTGTGTATATCTAGCGTGCGCTAGTGACAGCTACTGACAGCCTTACTTCTTACGTACAGCTTGTGTGAATATCTAGCGTGCGGCTTGTGTCTGGCACGGGCAGATGACGCAATCATGGAAGATGCACAGTGCGGGAAACCGAGTACACTCTAACGTCTTAGACGTGACACTTTTACAGGACTCTTACTTGTATTCATTTTCAGAAATTAATAACGATGATAAATTACGGTGTTTTTGGTGATCATGAAGGGCAGGGTGGCCCAGTGGTTACAGTTCAGAGTACCAAGATTGGAGCAGAGAGGAGCGGGTTCGATCCCAGCTCTGTGCGCCAGTTTCTGGTCAGAATCGGTAAGGAGGCCGGGCGGTTAAGCACAGCAGAATTGTAGCAGTGAGTTGCGCGTTCGAGACCTCAAAATGCTGTGAATGTTCTGCGATGTTCAGAATCGGCGACAGGCCTACGGCCTAATAAACGCTGAAACCGCTATTATTATATTATTATTATTATGATCAATAGGTTGGCACGCTCGCTTCCGGGTTCGCACGAGATAATTTTCTCGTAGTTGCCAGCCTCAATCCGTTATTTGAGCTTTGTCGGTCTCTTGCTGGTTGCATTATTGTGAGATTAAAACTTGCATTACTTTGGCATGAAGAGTTATTTCCAATACGCATTATGGCCATTAGCAATGTACATGAAAATTGGTTTTGCACAATAATTACTTGCTAACGGAACTATGCCAATTTAGAAAGTGGATAAACTTTTAGCAGTGATGCTATGGAAAGAGCAAGGTGAAAGACATAAAGGATCCATTTTTATGAGAAAAACAAATGTCTTGATCATTTCATAATTATGAAAAAATTAACAATTCAGATCTTGAACACAGCAGAACTTGAATACATTTTTGATACCATATACCAGCTCCCATAGCAATGGGAGTTGAATGCATCATACAAAATTTTACTGCAATACAGCGAAGAAGGCTAAGACGTACATTATTGGTGAACAGAATATTTTAGCTGCTAGAGAGGATGAAATCGGAAATGGTATGAAGAGAAATTCTAAACAAGTTCTAAAATCAATACCAATTAAGAAAAGATCTGTGAAGCGGTAAATTGTTGAAATGGGCTACGCTGTTGAAGAAACCGTAACCTCAGTTCTTATATACTTCAAAGGCTCAGCCACCAAATTTTTGTTAGGTTTAATTATAAATAGGTAAGTTGTGTAATTATATTTTGCTGTTATTACAAAATAGTTGCTTAGTTACTTACATAATAGTTCACGTTATTGTAGAATAAGCGTTTAAGCTTGAGTTCATATAAATTTCTCAACAAAAAGTATTTTTAGATTTCGATACCGGCGAAATTATAAATAGCAGGGTGGGCAGGTGGGATTCTCAATAGGGTGGGAAATTCTCAATGGGCAGGGTGGCCCAGTGGTTACAGCTCAGAGTGATTGTAGCAGTGAGGTGCGGGTTCGATCCCAGCTGTGTGCGCCAGGTCCAGTGGAAATCGGTAAGGAGGCCGGGCGGTTAAGCAAAGCAAAATGTGAAGCAGCGAGTTGTGAGTTCGATACCGCAACAAGCTGTGAATGTTCTGCGATGTTAAGGATCGGCGACAGGCGTACGGCGTAATAAACGTTGAAGCCGCTACTATTACTAAAAGGAAGGTAAACTTCCTTTCTTTCCCTTTTAGCTTTTTATATGCAGGGACAGCCTCTTTCCTGCGATCCATGTCCTCAAATATTGAACACAGTGAAATATAATTTTTTATGTATTTAGGAATTTATATTTATCAAAATTAACAGTAGATAATTTTTTCACCGATTTGTACGTATGTGTGCGCATAATGGGCTAACGTAAATATACAACTATCCTATCAAGAGGGTCAACGGTCAAAAAATGTTGCCTACCCCTATTGACTAAAAAATATAACTCGGTACTCACTGCAGTGAGCGCATTTTCTCGTCGACGAAAACTTGAGGTCACGGACGGACGGACAGACGGACGGACAGACAGACAGACAGACGGACATGGCGAGCACAATAGTGCATTTTTTCCATAAATGAGAAAATGCGCTAAAAACTGCTATTTACTTTGAACAAATATACTCGATTTTAATTTAAGGATAACTAAGTATAATTTCTATTCTTGCACAATTGGTTCACAATTGACCGAGTTATATGTCGTTGGTGGTTTAGTTAGTGAATTTTTATTTTGTTGTTTGAATTGAAAATCAGGAGGAGAAATATCAATGGGGAAATATTCTGACGACGCTTGCTATATATGGCGTAGAGTACGATTGAGTTGCAGATGGCAATCTCTGGTCGGTCGCCCATCATCATGTAATTTGCCTCACAGAGCTAGCAACGGGTCACAAAAGCTACTAAACGCAAAAATCTTGCTGCTCCTAACCATCCAACCATCCAGCCGATTGCAACTAAAATTGTCACCGGTAGCTGCAGGGTTCGCGCCAGATAGCAATGAAAATTCTGTGACGTCTGGCTGGAATCAGCGACTGACCTAACATGGCCTCATAGTCTACTGCACCGATGTCATTACACTCTGCCACTAATTGCCTTGCTTTACCCCCGCAACCTCTGCGCGTCTGTGGTTGATTTTGCAGCTAGTCCAGAGAACGGTTGATTCATCGGTAAAATCGGCATACGTTTGACCGATTTTTTTACCGACAAAGTGATTGTAATAAAGCATTTTAATATAAATGACCCCAATGAGACTCATTTAATGGCAATAAATTTTAATATTCTTATTTAATTTTAATGCAAAAGGGTATCACGGCATTGCAGACTAGTATTGTGATTTTTATCTGCTGTGGAATCAGCATCTGCAAAGTTTCTCACGGAGCTTGCGGAAGGTCGTAGCACGGTGTCTCAAGCAGTAGTACTGGTGCCTACTCTAACAACTATAGATTGCATTTGATCCCCTTCATGTAACAGATACATGAATTGTATTGAATTTAATTCTCTGATTTAATATATCTTATTTCGCATTCGAATTTTCTCTTGATGTTCCTTGGTTTGTAGTAAAATTGTGTTATTTACCATCTAAGCAGTGAATTATACGTATAAATTTGAAAAATATGAAAACCCTGATTTTACTGATTTTGAACATTTTCGTGGCTTTGGCTGCAGCTGCTAAAAAAGTGAGAAATTTATTGTAATGGATATTATATTTATGCTACATTTTTAGTATCGTAATTTTTTAAACTGAAGCTAAAATTATAGATGTTTTTTTCGAGAGTGTTGCTCGTATTGTTAGAATATTTAAAACCCATTATTTAATCTATGAGTAAAAGATTGTTTGTACCTATCCTACATTGGCAAGCTATAACAAATATGGTCATAGTTTGTTGGAAGTCCTGTTCGAAATATCTAATTGAAATCGACGTATAACCACAAATATGGTTCAAATTTTGAGTGTGAACCTAATACGACTTCAAAGTATCAAATTATTGTGATTCTATTCCATTAGCATTATTCTTCCTTTCCGCTTGATATTTTGCAGGAGAATGCGTGGCCAGTGGACAAAAAATGTGACGTTGATGGTCCTGGCACCATCGTAACGTTTGAAGTGCTTCCTTGGCTCCGAAAAACTCTTGACGGTAAATTTATGAATTAAAGTACTAAAGTAACAGCTTTTCGAGCTGTATTATCTTGATTCATGAGTGGAAAATCTGTAACATTTATAAAATAATCAATTAATTAGGAAGTATTAGGTTAAATTTACGGAGTCTACGTAGACCACCAAGCAAATTAAGTCAGGACAGTTTCGCCGGGTGCTCAGGGTAATTGAGTTGTCATTGTCTGACTGAGAGAAGATCGAGGCCAGTGGCCTCACATGTCAGCCAAAATTAAAATATTAGCGCACATCTAGACTTACTTTCGGCAACACATTTCGTCCATTGAATGCTTTGAATTTTATCATTATCGAAAACAATCGTTTGTTCTTTTTATTTGTTTTGGTTGTCTCCATGTATCCCAACAACTGCAAGATCACATAAATCCTCAGAATACCATAAAAATTTTGTCAGTGGCATCTTGCTGCTTGATTCTCGCCTTAATTTTGAAGCGTACTGAGGCACAACCGATGGATTCGAAGCCGGTCATAGTGTTTATAGCAAAATACTGAACATTACTGAATACAACGGAAGCAACGCGGGCAAGAGAATACCAAATTCGAGCCTTTCAAAATAATTAGAGATCTCGATATCGTATCAGAATACATAAATTTTTACATGACAATACGGATTTATATTGCTTGTTTGTCAATAACTCGTGTGACCTCAAATATCCTGAATATCTTAAGAGTGGAACCGGTATATCCATTGAACAGAGGAACACTGCATGAGCACTGAACCAGGTTAACGTATTTTCTGATTGAATGCTGGATGTTTATGAACAACTCGATGGTCGTACGGATCCTAATTGAAATAGAATGTATCGTCTGCAAGTTGTATTGAATAATTTAACGAGACTTTAATGAGTATTTGCCTATCTACATAAATTTATAATGAAAAATATAAAAATTTCATCCACTTAATCGTAAATAATAAGAGTTGGTAAGATTCAATGATTTAATGTACGAATTTTTAAATTGAAGAAATGGACGAACTGACAACGCGACTGTTGGACGGCCTCAGCAACGGCATTGCTCAGTTGGAGCCGCAAGTCGATCGCTCTCCAATGTGAGTGCTGCGAATTTTTAAATACATTTTTAGAATAAATTCCGCAGAGTAGATCTTAAGAACAAGTTGGCCCGAAACTGCATCCCCATCTACTCAAATAATTGTTGACAACTCATCAATTTCGTTTCTCATGCAGAAACTGCAAGTGCACTCTATGTAGCAAATAGCGTTCGGATAATTGAAAATCTCATCTCGGTCTCATGACTACAATTGTTATTAGGTAACTATTTGAGTTCGGACACACTAGGATCTTAATTTTTCATGTTCCAGGTATCATTTGGATCGTGAGAAATACTTCGGCAACATCAAAGCGAATCTAAATGCCTATTACACCGAGGTTTATGAAGCCGTCGTCACGTCATGGGTCAATTTGACCCGGGTTCACGAACGATTTGATGATCGGTTTGGTCGTCTCAAGAACCCTTACTCGTGTGTTTTTGCTATCAAATCCGTAGGAGGCTACCACCCTTTCCAGTATGCATTCGCAGACCTTCATCACATGGCTTTAAAAGTAGAAGGTTAGTCGACCCTTACTCGTGTGTTTTTGCTATCAAATCCGTAGGAGGCTACCACCTTTTTCAGTGTGCATTTGCAGACCTTCATCACATGGCTTTAAAAGTAGAATGTTAGTCGATAAATCAACACATAAATAAAATAAACTTCATCATAGATTTAGTATGACTGATGGAATGTAAGAATGCTTTTCCTTGGATGTTCTAATTTCTTTTTTTTTGCAGTATGTTAATTTAAAAATAAACAGAAAAAATTATATCTCTATTTGTGAGCGTATAACGGAGAATCCATCAATTTTTAGTTAGCAAAAGCTCAATCTCAGCAGGTATAATTATTTGATTTGTAGACTCTCTTTACCTATCGCTGATTACCTTAGTCCATTCACCTGATACACGAAAACCGCTATTACTTGCTTCCAGAGTCGTACTACAGAGCTGCTGGTACTCTCCGCAGTATACTGAAGGAGTTGTCAGTCACCACCACAGCTATGGTGTCTACCAGTGAGTAGCTGGACCCTGGGCAGGGTGGCCCAGTGGTTCAGAGTACCAAGATTGGCGCAGAGAGGCGCGGGTTCGATCTAATGCAGCTCTGTGCATGCGCCAGTTTCTGGTCAGAATCGGCAAAGAGGCCGCGGGCGGTTAAGCAAAGCAAAAATTTAAGCAGTGATTTGCGCGTTCGAGACCGCAACAAGCTGTGAATATTCTGCGATGTTAAGAATCGCCTGCGATGTTAAGAATTGGCCTGTATGCGACAGGCCTACGGCCTAATATACGCTGAAACCGCTATTCTATTCTAATACATTGCATTTGCACAGAACGCAAATAAATTCCAAAACAGGTAACCTTTGCCTGAATATTGTGTTGCAAATGTATGTCAGAAATGTTTGTTGTGGAATTTTTATGCGGTAAGACATTGGATGAGTTATATGAAATATTCAAATCAACAGGTTTGGTTGTGCTCTCTGAGACACTTCATCTCCAGACCTTGGGTAAGGAGGACCACGATCGCTTGCTACTGAATAACATTGAACGGGTGAGGAGTAATAATTAATTATAACATTTCATATTAGCTACAATTATTTTACAGTACGTTGCGAAAAATAGAGAAATGTTGTCTGAAAACTAAAATTAATTTAGTTGTAAAAACAGCCAAATAAAGTGAGAAATGCCGTATAATATGGATCATATAGGGAAAAATGTATTCAATAAATTTTCAAAGTCAACTACTATCAGTTGACATGGTCATGGCCTAGCTGATGGTGAGATATGAAAACTTATGATGAATTTCATTTATGGGATAATGCTCACCTTTTCATATGATCATCAGGTCGCTCCTAATTTCCTGGGTAAACTCATGACGAAGTTAGTTAAATCCGGCAATGATCCTGACAGTGTTCCTCGGATAAATTCAGAAGTGCTGGCAGAACTGGAACCGGTGCACCAAGCGGTAAGAATTGCACATGTCAATTAATCATAACGTAATTAAACCGTTCAAATCAAGCATGAATTGAAGAGATAAATTTACGGATAAAATTTGTATGATAACGAATATTAATTAATCATAACGTAGTAAAACCGTTCAAATCAAGCATGTAATATATAAAAGAAATTAATTTAGGGATAAAATTAATATAATAATATTATATTGATTGTCAGATATCATGTTCCGCTATGAATCGTAAAAAATTACGCGTATAAAATTTAGTTGAGCAGTTCAGGTCCTGGATGAATAATATGAAAAAAATTCTTTGATGATATGTGAACAATATTTGTTTAATATCTTGTTCTCCTATTCTCGTTTTACGTGTCTCCGCGCACGTAGTATTCCGTCGTTAATTCATACGGTTAACTTTGTCCTAATAATGCGCTGTTATTGAGTCAGTACTTATATGTCCACCAGCTCCAGTACCAGCTCCGAGAGCTTCACGAACATTGTTTTGTCTGTAGTCTCATGCCTGAAATGTATCGAACATTGTGGCGGAGTCAGACAAACGCAAGTCTTCAAAGAACAAAAAGAAGACCAAAATTTTCATCCGACTTCTCCAACATCTACGAAAACGAAGAGTTCTTAAGTGAGGTTGTTTTGTCACTCATGATGTCGTTCAAGAACGAACCTCTGGAAGTGAATCCCGATGAGTTGGAACCAACAGCCAAGTCACGGGGCGACTGAATCTGAAATAAATGGTCATTGAATCGATTTCTTTTATCATGAGTCAATTTCGAATCAAGTGAACGGAGCTCCAAATGATATGATACAAATTTAATTGAAAAATATAAGTTTTTCGTATGAATGGATCATAACATATTTAAAGCTGCAAATTTGTTACCAACATTCAATGTCTTAAGTCAGAAATAAGAACGTTTTCAAAGATTTTCTTTAGGTAATCTAATGTCTACCAAGCGAAAAAAAAATGAAATCTGTGAGAGGATTGTGTTATTTTTTCATATTAATAACAATAATGGTGTTGGCGTTGATTAGGCTAACTCTAGCTTGTCGTCAATTCTAGATATTGCAGAATTCTTACAGCATGCGTATTTGTATCAAATTTAATGCTCAATTCGGAGAATGCAGCCGTGGGCCTCAAATTATACTCATAAACTAGTCTTGAAGTCAACGGTCCGCCTAAAAATGCACTGGTGCGATTGGCTTATGAGCAACAAAGTCACAGACCATGCTAGAAACATCACAAGCAACACCAGTTCAGCAAAGGGTTGAAATAATAGCGCCGTCAGTTTACAGTCAATGCTCAAGTCAAGATAGTCTTCATGGAAGCTACACTTCTGCATGGAGAGATGGAGGACAAGTAATTAGTAGGAATGATGTCCGTAGATTAAGGCCTGTAAATAATGTAGGGAGTAACCGCATACATCAAAGTGAAAGTGCACAAAAAGTTTTATCGCCAGTCATGAAAAGATCCGGTCAAATGACACGAGTTTAGATCTATGAACAAGGCACGAAATGGAAAAGAATCGGCGACAGGCCACATCAGGCCTACACTTCAGAGCCGACATCACTATGTTATGTTATGTTATGTTATGGCTCCGCTCTAATAACTTGAGCACCTCTATGGGCTTTAACACTCAACTTCCTAGGCTACTCTTTTTTGTAGCATGTTTGCACAGGGGAAGGAATATAATAGTGGTGCCACTGACAGCATCTCCAATTTTGCAATTCTCAAACGAAGGATCATAAAGCCTATTTTTATCATGAATCGGACAATTTTACGGCCGGACTTGCGACCGTACTCTAAATTCCGGTCTATAAATTCAATGCTCAAGGAATATCTCCCGAAGTAATGAGCTCATCACGATGAAACTTGCTACACGTATTCATTAGTACCTAAGGTGATGTTTAGATAGTGATTTTTTTTTAAATTCCGCCTTCATTCCCGAGTTATATGGCGATACGGGCCAAAATTTGCAGTGATCAAGGAATTTCTTCCTAACTCCTTAACAGATTTGAACGAAATATCTAATACAAATTCTTAACTACCAAACAGTGATATTTAGCTCGCGAAAATTTATTCGATTTTGCATTCGTTAGCGAGTTTTTTTCTATTTCACCGTTAGTGGAAATTTAAACTGCAATCTGTGCTTAAATTCGATGTGATCAAGAAATTACTTGTAAACTCTGCATATAAATACCTAACCTCCCAACGGTGATGTTTAGCTCGTGACAATTTTTTTGATCTTGCCTTCATTTGCGAGTTAAATTTGTACGAGCTAAACATCACCATTAGGTGCTATTAAATAAATATACTAAGTTTCATCGAGCTGCGTTCTTTAGTTTGGAAGATATTCCTTGATCAAAGAGTTTGGAGATTGGCCGTGAGACCGGCCGCGCCATGGTGGGCCGCTCGACCGGTCGCGAGTCTGGCCTTAAATTTGTCTGAGACGTATCTGAGCTCTCACAAAAACTGAGATCGAACCTGCAAATCACTGCTCCTGTCATGGTTCTGGGAACTTTAACCACTGGGGCATCCTTAGTTGATATATTCAAGATTTTTATTTGCGAATTGCAATTTGCCCTATTTCCTTGCCTCAAGAAATTTTTCCTGAGTTGAATTTAATTGAAACGGAAGCAAACAATTCTAATGCTAAAACTATCGAAAGTTAGTAATAAACATTGTTCAATATAAAATTAGGGCGTTAGCTCTTTTTCGTCTTTTTCATGGTTCTTACGTAGTTTTTAATTTCCGACCTTTATTTGCAGTGGACACTTCGGCCGATGACTCGTTCCGGAAGGTTATCGTTGACGTCAGGTTTTGTTCACCAAGTGCCTGTGATATTAGTTGGTTCAATAACTTCAATTAGAACGCGCACATTCCATAAGTTGTGATCTCGATTTATTGTTGTAATAAAAATGCCTTCTCAAGCTGTAAAAGATGGGGAGCCTCCTGAGATTCGTGTAAAAATAGCCTACAGCGGGTAAGTTCTAACCTCAACTTCTCAGTTCTCAAGCTGCTAAGTTTTTACAAGTTTAAGTTACGATGACACGGTGTGCTGACAGTGACTGAGTGACAGACTGACATATAAGATTTTATTTATTACTGTAATAGTGTAATATATTTTGTTAGTTTTATACTTTTACTTACTGTGCATCAAGTGTATCAAGGTATGCATCTATAAGTCATATGGTGTGAAAAAAGCGACAACCCTGAAAATTTTTTCTTTCAGTTTCAACCATAGTGGCAAACCAGAGCTTTTTTAGAATCAGTTCATTTTTATTTTCCTCATTTACTCAAAATTTAAACCAATTTCTTATGTATGATAATGCTTTATGCTGGTATCCAGGATACTTTATTGGTCTACTTATACTTATAGGACTCAAAAATGAACTCTAAAAGTTTAAAAATCTCTCTGCTTTGCCACTATGGTTTCAACATTGCATCAGGTAGGGAAACATCCTATTTTTTCTGAAATATCACGGCTCAGTCGGCCCTAATATCAAAAAATTTCAGTAGGTATAAAATCTTGCTGCTCTAATATCATGCATTTTTGTTTGATTGAAAAAATTGCGGTTTACACAAATTGCACTTTGCAAACATGTCATTTCATTAAATTTTCAAATTCCACAATCTGCATTACTTCAACGCTTCAGCCAAAATATCCAGCAGAGCGTAATAAAAAGAAGTAAACCAAAAATTTTTCCTTGAAGATTGTGTAGTTGCGGTCAGTTATGCCTGCATTGCATTGGAGCGATTGGTTTACTTTCAAAAAAAATAAATTCAACATAGGTTCAATGGTATTGACAAAAAGTCACTAAATTTTTTTATTGCTCAATCATATAATAAAATGGAAGTTATTGAGACTTGTCAGAAGTGGCTAGGTATATAGTACCTTCTTTTTAGCGCATTTTCTCATTTATGGAAAAAATGCACTATTGTGCTTGCCATGTCCGTCCGTCCGTCTGTCTGTCTGTCTGCCTGTCCATCCGTCTGTCTGTGACCTCAAGTTTTCGTCGACGAGAAAATGCGCTCACAGTCATTCACTGCAGTGAGTACTGAGTTATATTTTTTTTAAGTTGCCAACAATATTGACAAAAAGTGCACTAAAGTCACCATAGCCTGGCAAGGTTATTGCAGTCTTTGTGTGAATAGCACCTACGTAAGGTACAGTAGAGAAAGCCTCAAATTCACCTTGAACCAACCCTCCAACTTTGGTCTTTCTTTAACAAATTAATGAGAAAATTTGGTATATTGCTTTTGTACAAAAATAAATGTAACCCTAAGGAATATATCTTTCTCCTAGCTACCATATTTTAGTGGATTTGCACTAAGATTGAATTTTTGATTGGTAGAAACTAGAAGGAAGCTGTCCTCACTGCATCAATGTTGGGACTTGGGAGGGGTGTTCATTCCATTCATTTGATTCTTTATAAAAAATTCATTTCATTGGATGAACCTTCCATATGAAAAATTAGTCTGTTACCATGTACCTAGTGTAGCACACTAAGCACACTAGTCAGCAGCTTGAATTGAATTCATTTTGAGTGCAAATTTCTCAGTATATGCAGCAAATTTCTCAGTGCAAATTTCTCAGCAATTTGGGGCAGATGCTCCCCTTAAGTTGGAAAAATATAATAGTTTGATCTTCAAAAAAGAACTCTAAATATCCATGTTTATCCTTTCTAATAACTTTAAACAAGCGTTTAATAACAATTCAGGTAACTGCGCAATTGTGAAGATTTCCTAGAGGCATAGCACAAAATTTAACTAAAGGCAGAGATAATCTAAAACTAGCTCTAGTATTATTAGGTATATCTTACCAGGACTCCACTCCACTGTCTACTAATTGGCCTACTCTTCTAGACACTGCATCTCTACTCCCTAAGGGCTCCATGGTGCCTGAACTTGTTCCAAACGCGTAATGAACTTGACTAGTATTCGTCCGGTTCCCATAAAGTGCCATTGAAGCCTTAGTGAAGACTTATGAGCAACATTTTTTACTTAATACTCAGCCATACATTGACAGGTTTGCGGTGTTTGTTGGACCACTAATTAACTGCCATGTCAGTTGGTCAGTCAAATTTTGCTAAATCTGCAAATTAACTCAATTTAACTGGCAACTGTCAATGGCCCTATTAGCTATAAAGGTTTAACTTGGCGCATTCTTTAACTTGGCGCATTGTAATAGAAAAACTTGTTTTTTCATAAATAATTCAGACAAATCTCGTCTTGTCTTGTTATGTCTCGTTTCAAATCTGTCTGTCTCGTCCTGGTTCATAATTTACCGGGACATAAGTTTTAAAGTCCGGGACAGAAGTCTTGTCTTGGTTCATACGTTTATTCCGGGATAAATTTTACCCTCTATCCTGTTATTTTTTTCCCGGAATTTTCTCGTCTTGTTTCGTCTGTCCCGGTTCATTTTGAGAAAATTATTTCGGGACGCAGGAGTCTAGCATTCTTAGTGTCTTGAAATGGGCTTATGGAAGCTCCAATGTACTGTGAGTATAAGTTGCATTAATTGGTGGCGTTATAATATGAATAATTTACGTTCAAATTGGGTTTTAGTCATTTAAATATTTACCCTCGTTTCCACTTCTTGACAAGACTTATTCAAAGACATAAGGGTGAGGTGACCCAGTGGTTACAGTTCAGAATACCATGACTGGAGCAGTAAGGTGCAAGTTCGATCCCAGCTCCCTGTTACAGTTCTGGTCAGAGCCGCAAGGAGGCTGGGTGCCTAAGCTCTGCAAAATTTTAGCACTGAGTTGCGTGTTCGAAACTGCAACAGGTGTGAAAATTCTGCAAGGTTTAAGAATCAGTGACGGGTAGAATGTCCTAA